ACACACACACACACACATATACACACACAAAGAAAAACAAGTAGATAGAATAGAAAAAATAGAAAGCTAGTGTTAGTTAGTTTAAAAAAGATAAATAGATCAAGTAGAATTAAAATAGAATAGAAAGTGCAAGAGTTAGAGGGTCAAATAAAGATGGAACAGATGTGTTTTTAGTCGTTTCTTGAAGAATAAATATATATATATATATTATATATATATATAATTTCAGTTAACAATTATTTCAAGTAACAAAAATGTTTTTAATACCTTTAGTTTGGATTTTAGTGTTAGTTAACTATAATCCTAACATAAACCAGTTAAAATGGTTTTCATAAATGGTGGTATTATAGTATTAATAGACCTTTACAAAAAGTCTTATTTGCGCACTAACCCTTATGATGTAACACATCCTGGAATAAAACCGGTCTGTAGGCACTGAGCATAATAAAGATTTGCTAAACAACGACGCGTTTAATGCAAAACGTAAACACTGCAGTGATGAATCTGTAAACATACGTAGGTTAAGCTCTGGTAACAAATGCATTTTCAATTTGAAGGTCTTATTTATCCGTGACATCTGAACCTGGGATCAGGTTCTAAACCTCTATTATGCGTTTTAGTATTTATAAACAAAAGCAAATATGGCCAGTATTATAATACTGTTATCCTATCAATCCTGTAAAATAAACTCTGCAGTCTGCCTCTTCATAAAGCCAAGCAATCCAAAAATTAGACGATTCGAGGGTTTAGGATGTATGAGGCACTCCCACATGGACCTCATAGTCTGTCTTGATCAGTACGCAAGAGATGAAATAGTCATTTTTATTTAGCAGTGGTAAGCAGTGTTCGAATTGTGTCAAAGCTCTTATAAATAAATGTATTTCTTTTTCTTAGCGTTGAGAAAACCTAATAACCTAATGACTGTTTGTCGGTTCCAAGATAAAAGCTTTTTCAATATCAGTTGGTGTACCAAACAAATATCTTACCCATAGGCAGAGTGAACCAACTGCAGGGTAAGGATAAAGTAACGTTAGTGTAACACACATCAAAAACCTCTGTTTAGACAAGTACCAGATATGGTGTCATGAAATATTTTAATACGACTGAATTTGTATTTGAAGTGATCACAATTTAATAAAAACATTCTAAGTTACTAATTATAACACTTTAACTTTCAGTTATTCAAACAGTAAATTATGCAATGGAGCAAAGAACACACATTAAAGACCGCTGACTTCAGGCTAGCCAGAGTTTAAGCACTCAAAACTCCTGTTATAATCAATGAAGCTGTCCATACACTTTATGATAAATGGATTACTTACATCTTACATACTTCTGTTCTGCACTTTGTTGCTTACGTTGCTTAGGTTGAGAGAATTCACGAGTTTCAGTCAGAATTCAGTCAGCGGGCACACACAACAAAACTCAGGAGTTTCAGCCATGACTCATCTGGACTTCTGATTGGCCATTGCTTTCATAAACTCAACAGAATTGTGTGTGTGATTAGTTATAATGCGCAACGGCTGTAAAAAGAAATATGTAACTAATTTAATACAGCAATTTACACTTTTCGTTTTATTTCCATTTTCACTAGTTTCGTTGCAAGTATTATAGTTTTATTGAAAAACACAAGTTCATTGTTTTGGGATGTATGGAGGGTCCTTTAATGCTTATGGGAGGTCTCTCATCATTTACTCACTTTTGAAAATCCTCTCATCATTTACTCACCCTTATGCTGTCAGATGTATTTGACTTTCTTCTGTGGAAAACAAGATGTTTAGAATCCATTGCTGCGAGTTCTTATAATTTAAGTGGATGGGACCCTCAAAAGTCAATGCTTCAAAAACCACACAAAACAAACATAATAATCCCTACAACCTCAACTGAGGACTCAATGACTCAGAGGTGGATTATTTTTCTAAACATCTCCGTTTGTCCTCCAAATTAGTCAAATTAATCTTGGATGGCATGAGGGTGTGTAAATGAGTAAATTGTCATTTTTGGGTGGAGAATCCATTTAATATAATATCTAGTTTGACCTTCTGAGTTTGACTATTTCTTTCTTTATACTTATCATTTTCTGGGAAAAATACTATAGATTTGTTTAAGAGTTTCAGATCCTATTTTGCACCCCATTCGTGTAAAGTGCACAAACCGAAACCAGACTGCTGAGAAGAAAATCTGCACACAGGTGTCATTCCAGAAATAATTTATTTCACTTCCATTTTAATCTTTTTTGTTTTTCTGATGTGGAAAGAAAAAGAAAAAAACTTATAGAGAGCAGGAACCAAGATGACAGTAACAATGTGAGGGAACGCTACCTCCCTTTAACCATGACAACCAGGGACACGACAAACGCTCCATGACCTTCTCTGCCACAGCATCAGATCTCCCAGCTGAGACAGAAGAGGCCAAAACCCCATTTGACCAAACTGGAGAGTATTATAATGCTCTTGGATGTACATGCGTGTGTGAGTGTGAACCAATGCATCGGTCTCAGTGTTTCTGGCTTTATCTTAATATGGTTTCACTGTTCCCAGAGTGCCTTCTAGCTCATCAAGACCAACCATCCACACCAGAGGGTCACCAATCCCCTCCTGCTGTTCATTTAGTTGTGGGCTGGAAGCTATTGAGCGAGCGTGCGCGCGCCACTTTCCACGCTCATATTCATCCCACCTTCCTTCCACATACGGTGGGGAAAGAGATGCTGAAATACTGAATCAACACTGAACCTGTCAGTTCAACAACCTCTCTCTTTAGCTCTGTTTGGAAAGTCTGCCTACACTCGTGCCACTTTTTCGTGCCACCGTTTTAACTGAAGAGACAGAATCCATTAAGGATTCTTCTGGGTTGTCTCTTGGATCATGTAACGTTCCTCCCAATTTATATGCTCTTACTGCATGTCTCACAATAATACATATACAAACGGACACACACTCATACACACACAGAGATTAAACGCCTTTCACATAATGACTTGACCTCGGACAAACGTCCTAATTTCATGTTTGGCATTATCTGTCTTTTCCCCCAATCTTAACCCCTCTTATTCTGCATATTCCTGTCATTTCTTCCGAGAAAATAAAACCACCAAAAAACAGGAACCATCTACTTCATCCCATGAACAACGCAAATATTAAGGAGAAAAAAAGAAAATACTCAAGTTTTTTCAAATTCAAGGCACAATGTCTTTCTGTTTCCCCTTTTTGCCCTTAAATTCTGAGTACCACAGACTCAATCACTCACGAGAGGCTGCCTCTTCACTAGCTCCGCCCTCATTTAGCTAACACTGTTTAAGAGATGCGTCTGTTTGGGAGTGTTTCACAGTCCCACACCAGTGAGTACAAACAATCAAAAACAAACAATGACAGCAACGACAACTGCAAAAAGAATTTTTTTTTTTAAAAATAAAACCCAAAAAGTCACGTCCTGTTTTCTGTGTTACGTCAGAAATTTGAGTCATATCCATCAGCTCATTTCTGGCAAGCTTGTCTTAAATAAGCACTAAGTACTGATAGATAGGATAAACATACACCATTACGTGTGGTTTAAAGTAGATGCGTTCGTCATTTTTTTTTGTATAATTTTCTTCTCATAGACTTGTATGAATTCAAGGATTTTAGTTGATTTTCATTCGTCAGTTTAAAGGTTTACGTGAATGCAAGCAGGGACAGAGTTCGCCATGGTGTCTTGCTTTAGACGTGGGTCTTGAGGGGGCGGGATGACTTTTTAGGAGACGCCATTCACCATGGCTAGAGCCTCCTCGGGCGATGCCACGCCATTGCTAGGGGAGCGCTTGGAAGGAGTGCGCTCTTCCTTGGTCACGCTAGTCCCATTTTCCTGAAGAAGAAAGAATGAAATGCAGTTTAAAGCTTTGTTCTGTGCTTAAACCTCATGAAACTGCCCTTTTACCCAAAGCAAAGCCTTAAAACAATCGATGATAGTGGTACTGCAGATATGCACACATACACTGACCTATTATTAAAAAGAAAAAACAAAAGATGAAAATCAGAAAAAACTGAACTAATATTGATTTCATCATCTAAGTTATGATTTCATCATCTGAGTTAGGACTGCATGATTAATCGAAACAAAAATGAAAATTGGGTGCAATATTGCAATTATCAAATTGTAAATGCTGTGATTTAACTACATTTATTACACGGCTCTGTGGAATTCTTGTTTCTGATTGGTCAGTTGCGACATTCCGAGGTGTGTTATGTAAGGGATAATGTACATCCAACGGTTATATTATCCCGCTTATTACACGGTTACTTGCCACTTAAGTAAATAATTAGACAAAATATTGATTTGAGTTGAAATATCTGAACGCAAAGCTTCTGTGAAGACAGCAGTTGCGAGCAAGCGGCAAGTTCAAACTAGACGGACATTTAAGGGATATGGTGCAGTCATACCCCTTATTACACAACATTTCAGCAGATAAATAATTATGGCGATAAAATATATTAAAGACGAAAATGTTTTAAAATCTTACCAGTTTGTTAGTTATATCTTATAATCCATTACAGTGTACAAAACAATCGTCGCAAAATGGCAGCAGCTGCATTTGTATGAAACGAGAGAGCGAGTCCGCGATACCAGGATGACATAATTAAATAATTGTACACATAATATTGAATTGAAGTTTAATATTTTATTAGCTAACCAAACGCAAAGTTTCCACGAAGAAAAACTGTTCCTAGCAAGAGTACAGTGCCGACTTCAGTTACCCGGATGAGCCTGTGTTATTAGTTTTTACTGGTTGTTATCGAGGGATAACATACCTTGGAATGTCGCGACTGACCAATCAGAATCAAGTATTCCACAGAGCCGTGTAATAACCCTCGATAACAACCAGTAAAAGCTAGGGATGTAACGATTAACCACGAGCCGGTTGAAAATCGATTCAAATATGTGACGATTCAAATCGGTTGAGATGCTAAACAAATCGCGATTCATTTAGGTGTAGGAGTTTATATGAATGCATGTCTGAGGGGAACTTACTGTCTTTAGAAAAGTTTAGATGGTATTTTTTCTTTTCATCTTGCCTCTGTATAATGCATATTAAAGTTCTTAAGTTCAGCGGTGCTTTGTTTACAGCGGAAACCAATGAAATGCTTTAAGCGCCACCTGCTGGCAGAGAGTGAATCTGCATCTAATTCAGCTCTGCTGTTTCATGCAGATATTTTTATTTATAGTTTCACAAAACTGAAGTCAAACCATTCTGTTTTGGCTTCAAATTTCGAAATTATACAATCTAATTTAGTTAAAAAACTGCTCATGTTGCATGTATGCAGTATCTTTGTTTGGATCAAGATTAAAACGCAGTGGTTGCCTCTAATTTTAAAAGGAAAGAACACAAAGCCTTATTTTGTTTATATGAAGATATTTATTTGATTTGTGTTACTTATTTATTTGATTTGGGGCTTGTTTTAAAATTTCAATGTAGTTTTGTTATTTACATTTACATTATATTTAAATTTTGTTTTTTAGCAGACGCTTTTGTCCAAGGCCACTAACAAATGAGGACAATAGAAGCAATCAAAACCAACAAAAGAGCAGTAATATGCAAGTGCTATATTAGTATATTATTATAGTATTATATTTCAATTTCACAAAGAAATGTGCAGCATTTTGTCCAAGCAATAATAAAAGTACACATTTAATTTATAATTTGTCTTAAATCTCATTTTGTTAAAAAATAATAATAATAATCGTGAATCGAATCGTGAGTTGAGTGAATCATTACATCCCTAGTAAAAGCTGGCTCACAGGCTCATCCGGGTAACTGAAGTCGGCACTGTACTCTTGCTAGGAACAGTTTTTGTTTGTGGAAGTTTCGTTAGCTAATAAAATATTAAAACTCGATTCAATATTATGTGTACAATTATTTAATTACGTCATCCTGGTATCACGGACTCACTCTTTCGTTTCATACAAACGCAGCTGCTGCCATTTTGCGACGATTGTTTTGTACACTGTAATGGATTATATATTATATAACTAACATACTGGTAAGATTTTAAAACAGTTTTGTCTTAAATCAATATCTTTTGTCGCCATAATTATTTATCTGGTGAAATGTTGTGCAAGAAGTGGTATGACTGCACCATTTCCCTTAAATTTACATCTAGTTTGAACTTGCCGCTTGCTCACAACTGCTGTCTTAACAGAAGCTTTGCGTTCAAATATTTAAACTCAAATCAGTATTTTGTCTAATTATTTACTTATGTGGTAAGAAACCGTGTAATAAACGGGATAATGTACATCCAGCTGGTTGTTATCGCAGAATAACCGCGGACAGGGTGATCAGGACCCTGACTGCGATAACAACGGCTGGATGTACATTACCCCATACATATGCAATGCATGTTTCAAAGTGAAGTTGTACTGTAAAATAAATGTATTATAATTATTATTATTATATTTTGAAATTTTTAATATATTTATAAAAAATGTTTAATATTTATATTAAAATTATATATTAATAATATAATATTTATGATATAAAAAATGTAATTATTATTATTTTTTTGTAAATACAAAATATATGCAAGTATAAATATTTAAATATTAATATTAAGAAAAAGAACAATAAAAAAAAACAACGAATTATTATTATTTCATAGTCTCATTGATAAATAAATGACAAAATTTTGGCCGAATTGTGCGGCTCTAAAGGCCCGTTCACACCAAGGACGATAACTATAAAGATAACAACGATAAAGACCAAGAGAAACGATATTGTTGGGATCACTTTCAAAACGATTTTTTTCCAGCTGATGAACTATAAAAAATTGACAGCCAATCAGAATCCATCCTGCTGTAACGAGCTCGAGAATTTAAAGCGGCAGACCAGTGTTGCCAAGTCCGCGGTTTTCCCACAATTGACTAACTTTAACACTGTTGCTGCGGGTTGTTTTTCCATGTCCGCGGGTTGAAGCGACTCCAATAACATGATATTTATCCCCTGGAATGCAAATTTTAGTAGGGGAACCCCACTTCCTGAGACAATTTTAGCCCATTGAGTGACTAAACTAAAAAAATTAATCTTTAAAGAGAGGGAGGCCAGTAAAATTTAAAATGAATACTTGCATTAAATTGATCAAAAATGGCCACCACAGGAATAAATTACATTTTAAAATATATTAAACTAGAAAAGAGTTATTTAAAATTGTAATATTTCATAGCATTACAGTTTTTACTTTTACTTCATCAAATAAATGCAGCCTCGGTGAGCATAAGCGACTTCTTTCAAAAACATTTGCAAGAAATACTACCAACCCCAAAAAAAGCAGAACTAGGTCATTTGACCACATTAGCTGCATATCACATCACCACTTTCTTTCCAAATAGTTAGGTGCTTAAAAAAAAAAAATAAAAAAAAAAGTGTGGAGCATCCAACCGGTGAATAACAAGACGACAACAAATGAAGTGGGATGCACAGAAGCCGCTTTCTCTCTGTTGCATTGCACACCCTTTATGTTATTTACGGTCATTTGTTTTGTAAATTAACTAAGAGGAAACTGATTAAAAAGTTTTAAAACTGCTTTGCAAAAATAGTTTAGAACTTTTTTTCCGGGGGCGGACACATACACAGGGTTATTTGGCAAACAAAAAAAGAAAATTATTTTCCTTGAAACTAACCCTGAAGCTTTTTTTCCTCTCAATAATTATAAAAATAATAATAATAAAATCTATATAATATATACATCTAAAATAATACATATATATTTATATATTTTAAAATATGAAATAAAATCACAATTAAATTTCTCCCCAAATTGTGCAGTCTTAATCTGAGGCGTGTGTTTTGTGTTGTTGTATTTGTAGACCTTGGGGTGGGACGTGTGCTGTGTCACCTCCTTCTTCCCTGGGAGATTCTGTCTGCTCTGGGAATCGGCACGAGAGATGAACAATTTAAAACATGACATTTCTGAAATTGTTTAGTTCAAAAGAAATAATGGTAAATTAAATACTAGGAAATGAATATAAAATAGGAAATATACAAAGACAGTTTACTACAGAAAACTACAGTTCAGTTCAATTAACAACAACAAAAACATTAAAATGGTCCAAGAACTGGTAACTTAAACAGGGTTCGTACAGATACTGCAAAATAAAATTCCAGGACTTTCAAGGACTTGCACTACTTTTTGGGTTTTCAAGGACTAAAATCCGATCTCACTTATCAATCAATGTTGTTATTATCTTTCAAATTCTAATAAATAAACTAATAAAACAAAATGGTAAAAATAAAGTGCAGCACATGCAAAGAATGCAATGACTGTGGCAACTTTAACATTTGAAAGGATACTATGGCAAAGTTATCGCTTATTCAAACTGATTTTTATTTTTTTTGCATGAATATATGATTGACTTGAAGAATGAAAGCTATATCATACACTTGGAAAATTATGGGCTTTATCACGCTCATAGACACTAGGGGTGTGACAATACACTTTGCTCACAAGGTGAGACAAAATGCAGATACTTTTATCTTTATAAAGTATTTTTAATAATTATAAGACAAATATTTGTCTTTTAATCACAAAAAGTAAACCAATGCAATTGTATTTTGAAATGTTTCAACTAATCTAGTGCTTAGCTAATGATTATTTTGACAAGTAATCTGATATTTTTTAGTAATACAAATAGAACTAAGTGGAAAAACAGGCTTTAATATGACTATATTTATATATAAAGTAACGATGAGGCAATAATAATTGGCCTCAAATAAAGTATCAAAACCAAGTACATGGTTTTACTGAACAACACTGTTAAATACATAATGTAATATGCCTATATTATAACAAACACCTGCAGAGGGCACCAACGGCCTGGTGATGTTTCATGTGATTCAACGTTTAAATCCATTTAATTTCAATATTTGGCCACATGCAAAGTCAGAAACTTTTATTTTGAAATCGCATATTTAGAAATGTTGATGGATTCTCCTGTGTTGACAGGTTTAAATGATTTACGTTACAAATCAAGTGAGTTTTCCCAGATGAACGTTAAGCAATCCAAACTCACCGCATATGCAGAGGAAGAGTTTAGCCCCTTTCACACATACAGTCTTTACTGGTAAATTACCGTTAAGAGATCATGTGTGAACAGGACCTTTTCAAAAATCCCGGTAAATTTGTTCTGGCAATCATATCGTTCTTATGGAGATGACGTGATTACTCTGAGCGGTTTACAAAGCTCCGCTGCTTGTTTAAAGGTTTGGTTCATTGCGATTTACGTTAGTTCATGTCTAATGTTGCTGTTTGAGCATAAACAATATCTGCAAAGTTACGAAGCTGAAAGCGAATCGTGATTATGTCTTCTAACGGATTAACAAGTTTCAAAATCAATGTTCTAAAGCAGCGGTTCTCAATACTGTTCCTCGCTTCCCCCTGCTCTGCATCTCTCTCTCAGCTCAGCTCCAACAATGAACTGTTACAATTATACACTTATGTTCACATAGCTATGAGATTGTAAACAAAGGTGGTTGGCACATGCCGCCGAGGTGAGGGGCGGGACGTTTAGACACGCACTAGAGGTGGTTGAGCCAATTACAACACACTGGGCTAGCAAACCAATCAGAGCCCATCGCCTATTTCTGAGGGAGGGGCTTCATAAAAGGAG